AGACATGATGGATTCCGTGCGACGAAAAGGAAAATGCCCAGTTTCACTGTCTGACCCTATATCCGGCCTGTCCTGAGCTGACGGTTCCATGGGGCTGAGATAGCCGCGCTGGCAAATCGAGAAAGCAAAATTCAATCTCCAATACCATGCCTCCAATAGATTATTTTCCACCAAAAAAATAATAATAAATCATAAAAAAATCTCAACAGCGACAAAAGCCTCCAAGGAGGGCGGCATGTATCCTCGCAAAAATGCAAAAGGACATCCTTATTGCTATCCTGAAACGGCGCCCACCGATGGACTGTCGCATGCCTAGGATAATCCAGCTAATCGACGCCGGCGGCTAAAGTCGCACTCCATTGGGCGGCCGAGGTGGAACTCCACGGGCCGTTGCGGCAACTTAAATCCCTTGACACGACCAGCCTGGACCTGTGGTTTGTGGTTTGTGGTTTGCGGTTTGCATGGAGACCAAAGAAAGACCAAAGAACAGAGAGTCACCTCGGGTCAAGTTGCTGGAACCTTAACTGGACAGGCCAAAGCCAAAGCGAAAATCCAACACAAGGAGATAGTATATTGACCTAATCAATCCGGGATCCTGAAACAAGAGAGAGACGAAGGATAAAAATGGAGGAAGCTCAGGCCTTCCTGCGAAAAGATGAGAATACGCTCTTGCACACACGTCACAATAAAATTGCCGACAGCCTCTCCCAAGCACAAGCAACAAAATAATACTTCCCATCAAATGGAATTCCAACGAACCAGACTTTGAGAGTGAAATTGAAAAAGAAAATACGGTCCATTTTTACGTTACCATCGCTGCAGCTCAGCCAGGGACCGACCCCCTTTGGCGCCCTCTCCCCTCGGTCCCATTATTCCCCATAGCCATGTCGTAGTTACCCAAGTGCGCATGGTAAAAATCTTGGAGCCTTCAGAATCGATTTTGCGCTGTGCCCGTCAGGTCGGGGATGCAGGGTCACCGTCTTGCACTGCCGGGGGGGGGAGGACCAGATGGGACGGTGACTGACAGAAAAGATCATCTCCTCTTTTACCTATCCGGGGAAACACCCTGTAACTACACTTTACCCGGGTATATTTAGAAGCCAAGAACGTCGCGTGCGGGTTCTAGTTAAACGCCCACGAAGATCCTCGCACGGAAACAACACACGCTGTGCGGGAACTCTTCCCATGCATATCTGCAGAGAGGTCGTCTCTATGCTCTTTGATCTTGAACTGGGGTAAATTTAAACGCTTCCCCATCCAGATCTATTTAAAGAATCATACAGAGGACAAAAAAGGACGATATCCATATTTTCGCACACCAAGGGGCAAAAGACAGGATAGCTATTAAATATCTATAGCAACTAGTTTCTAGATCTAGTTGATCCCTCAACAAGAATTTAAGCGCTCCCATCATACGTTCCCCAATTCGATCCCGCGTTGCTTAAAACGGAGCCGCCGCTCTGCAGCCTCCAGCGGCCTCTTCCCTCATCACCACGATCCAATGAATTTCCTCTCTATTCTCGAGAAGTGGAGACGACCGAGGGCAGGCCATCAACAAGACCACCGCCATCGGTCTCTAAACGCCCTGTCTGCCTATTAGTTTGTAGAAGTAGAGCGGCCCCCTCCCCTCCCTCAGCGCTTCTATCTACCCACTCTATTCCCAGCTCCCCATGACACAATGCTGGTCAACCCCTGCGTCATTCCTTGCCTCTGTTCACCCCTGCCTCTGGAATCTGGCCCAGGACTGACCTACCTTCGCACTCCTTACCCGCTCTAGCACGGACCGGTCCGTTACCGCGTAGTTAACCTGTTTAGTTTTCTGTAACGATATTTCTCAATCCGTCCCTCTCTCTCGCTCCCTCGAAGCGCTCTCTGGTACAACCACCCATAACCGCCCAATGACCCCAAACTGGCCTCAAAATAGACTTACGGGGATGAGAGGGAGGGGGAGGGTAAGGGGAATAAACAAAATATCAAAAAAGAAAAATGCAAAGCCAGATGGGGAAAAGAATGAAGAGAATGAATGGTAAAACTGCAGTTCCATGGTCGGTGATATTTTTCAACTTGATTTTCCGCAAGCTTCTACCAAAGGACGGATCAAAACCGTTACCAACCGTTTCATTCTTCCAAGGAATTTGATTTGCGCCGATGAGTTGTCTAAAATCCCCTGGGTCGTAGAATAGATAATCAAAAATCCAAAATGCTCGATTTCTCCTACCTGCAATGTGAGTTCATATAAGAACCGCAGCCCTGTACCCCCTTCCCATGTAGCTTTGTTACCCACTAGGATTGTGATATGGGCATTGCCTTCCACTCATTCCCTCGCTCACCCCACTCCCTCTCCCCCCCCCCTTTTTTTTTATACACTCCGCCCTCTCGCATGTTCTCCTATGTTTCGAATCCTGTGCTGCATTTGCTTCCTTGGTATATTTTATATATTTTATAATATTTTCTTTCTTTTACTCCCCCCTGGATTTGGTCCGCCGAAACGGATATACGCATATCCCTTCGAGAACTACCTACCTATCATTTTTTTAGCATAATTATTTAATTGTCCGTTTCCTCCGTTGGCCTCGTTCCATCCAAGGGTCTTGTTTTCTCGCTCTCCCCGCATATCGTGTAATCGTGCAGGTATCGCATACCACATACCAATCCCGCGCCCTCCCGTCCACAGCCCACTCCCTCATCCCCTCTCCGTTGTTTGCGGTTGTTTCTCGTTCGCCGAAACATCACCCTGCGTGGGGCCCCTCCTAAAACAAAACGGAAGCCCTACATAAGCAACAAAATAAAGGAAGAGAAGAGAACAAGGCCAAGAAACGCTGGGGCAAAGGCACCTATACCCAGGTCAAAGTTGCTGTTCATCTGATTCTCTCAAAAGGTTAGTATCGCCTTTCATTTTCCTTTTTCAAAATTTGTTTCTTGTTTTGTTTCTTGATTTTCCCCATTTTTTATTGTTTCCAGAGATTTGGTGGATGGTACATGCCTATGAGACAGCCTTGCTAGGATCTCATAAGTATCCCGGAGGCCACTCGCACGGACACACTCAAACACCCACACATACATACATACATTCCACAACCAATCCAGACCCTCAACAAGGAAAGAAAGTAAAATATAAGAGAGGAAAAGACACAGAAAGCCGCAGACAGGCACCAGGTTAAGCACGGCTGTTGTTCATCACTGCTTAGATCTGCGAACGCTGTTAGGATTCCTCCACAGGCCTTTCAAGTGGCTGAACTGTCTGTCTGTTTAGTCTCTTGTTCGTTTCCTTGTCATTGCTTTCTCTGGCATCCACTTGCTTTTTTTGCACATCCTCACAATATATATCTCCTGTGCCACCGGTCGTTTATTTTACCCAAAGCATACCTCTTCCCCCCCTCCCCAATACCCGCTATCTCCTCTCCCTCCCATCGGAACAGAAAAATACACATTCGCCGGATCTGAGCAGAGTTGAGAGACCATCGTTCTGTTTTCTTTTCTTTTCTTTTCTTTTCTTTTTTTTTCATGTATAAATACATTGTCGACCACTGTTCCACGACCTGTTTGACTCCGACATTCCCTCGGAGCGTGTACACTGGCAGTCCCCTCACCCGTCCCCGAAGTTGAAGCCACGGATTCTCTGCATTTCCTTTAGGTGCGCATTATACAAACTGAAATGCCGAAACAGACACCCCTGCGAGGATCCAGAAGATCCAGACCCTACCCTGACCCAAAAACGAGACCGATGATGTCAAACACCAAGACGAACCCATCGCGAACACCTGCTGCGGCAGTGGGAGCAACAACACGTCGCCCGCCGCCAGCGTGGGAACATCATCAAACTTCTCCAAGCTCCATGCCGCCACCACGTTTCTCCATGTTCGATCGTCGGGTCGTGCAAGACCGCGCAGCACCTCTATCCCCCACCACTCCCTCCACATCTAGCAGCCCATCGGTTCCATGGTCGCCGCATGACGATAAGGTTCTCATGTCCGCCCGTGCGCTAGGCCACGGCTGGAGTCAGATCCAAAAGGAAAATTTCCATTCGAAGAGTCCCAACGCGTGTCGAAAGAGGCATGAACGACTCGTTGCAAAGCGTCGGGGTTCCGAGTGGGAAGATGAGCGTGTCGAGAAGGTCACAAGGTTCTATCACCAAATGCGGCGGGATATTTGGCGGCCGCTAGCGGAGGCGGCGGGAGAAAACTGGGAAGATGTAGAAAAGATTGTAAGGTCATTCCTTATCTTCCTACTCCTACTCCTTGTGACAACCACACTGTTCACTTCAGCTACCTTTCCGTGCTGTAACTCGACTAAAAGAGGTCTAAGAGCAACACTAATTCAGGTATCCAATAGTGTCTGACACGCGGCCAGAAAAACCTCCTTCCCATGCCGACACACAACTCGATTAGGAGAGTAAGCTCCGATAACGAGAGTCGCGGAAGTCATGAGAGTCATGACGAAGAAAAGCTTCGAATCCCTAACCTTATCCGCTGAAGGTTACATCAATTGACTGTATTGTAACGAGGAAAATCGGATGGGCCATGTGAGGATAGTTTGTAGGGATTCCTGTCCGTGACGATTTTTCTTTCTTAAATCATCTTAATAAACTTTGCATCGGGTCTGCCATTTGTTTAAACAGTTTCCTTAATTGGGTTATCACTTTTAGGCATGATGCATATATGTGGAACTATCATGGAGCTGTTGTCCAAGATAAAAAACATATGAGGGTCATGACAAAGGAGTATGTGTGAGAGGTGGGCGTTATCATTGCAGTCATGTTCTTTTCATAGCACCTTTCCTTTTCCTTTTGTTGTATGCTTGGATGACTTCCTGTTCTAATTTGCATGTTTATGCTTGTGTTCTTGATGTAATTTTCTTCGTCTTCTATTCTTTTTCTTTCCTCAACTTTCTGTTACAATTTTCTACTCCTCATTGTCATCTCAGTTGGGGCCAAAGGGCAATAAACGGGGAGAAAAAAGGGGGATTCATAATACCATATTTTATTCTGAATGCATCCCCCGTCATGGTTTCTCTGCAAGTGAGCTGATGTTTAGCCAATCATCCGGGCCCAATATCCCACCATCCCCAGCCCGGGCATCAAGTGTCCACTTTCGTAGGGGCCGACATTGAAGATCAGATCGCCATCCGGCTTCAAACATTTCAATTCCAGCCCATCCTATCATTGCGGCATTGTCGGTGCAAAGGTAAGGCGGAGGGGCAATGACATCGACATGCGGAAATCCGCGAATATCGAGATACGAGCGGAATAATTTCTTCAAAAACTGATTTGCGCCAACCCCGCCACTAATGATAAGCGACTGGATATCCTCAGCTGGTGGACTTTGATTTTCTCTTTCCTGCTGCTGCTGCTGCTGCTGTTGACGCAACTCCTGCAGAGCAATGATTGTTCGAGACGCCAAATGACCGAAGCAAACCGTCATGAAGGCACGGGCAAATTCGATTCGTTCGTCATTCGACATGAACCCCTCCCCGCTATTACCAGCAGCCTCCCATTGCTCCCTTCTGTTCAAGTATATATCTCGAGCCCGCGTCGTAACACCGGAAAAGCTAAACTCCATCCGTCTGTTTTCTGCAAACGGCATACTGAATGACCACCCCCACCGTTCACTCTTCAGCTTAACGAGCTCCTCCCCTCGTGTTGCTGGAGGTCGATAGTCAGCGTAATCGCTGGGGCCATTGGGGAATGCAAACTCCTCCAGCATTTTGCCATACATTGTAGTAGTTGACTTTTCCAAGAATGACTGCGGCAGCAGCATTCTAGCAGTTTTATCGAGAGCATCTCCAATCGCGCTGTCAGACGTGGAAGCGAGAATCTCATGATCCACAATCGACTTAGAGTGCACAAGCAGGGTGTGGCCACCTGAGACAAGAATTGACATGAACGGAAAGCTTGGATTGTTCCTGCATGCGGAGCTGTTCTCGCTACTTTGTTGTTGCTGTTGAAGAGAAGCTGCCAATCTGGGTGTGAGAAGATGGGCTTGCATGTGGTGCACACCCACGATTGGAACCTGCCAGGCTACCGAAAGTCCCTTTGCCGTATCCAAGCCAACGGATAGATTCGACCGCATACCCGGACCTCTTGTCACTGAGATAAAATCCGGCTTCCTACGTAAGTGCGGCGTGGTTCCATCAGTCGCGGAAGAGGGAAGGCAGATTACGCGCCCTACATCGTTTACGCTTGTAAATTGAGCTGGAGGGAGATGTGCTAAAGCTTTATTGACCAGTTTTGCCGTGTTTGCCTGGTGAGAATCTAGTGCCACGGCGGGGTGGATTCCCTGATATTTCCTGGAATCGGCGGTTATGTTTTCCAAAAAAAGGATGGATGAACGCGACGGTGACGAGACGCCATGCTTCTCGATAATGGCCACTGAAGTATCATCGCTAAATTTGATCCATCACAAAATGTATATTAGCAAAACGACCCCTGCAGTCCAATGGTCCAAGGGGCTATACCCATGTAACATACCATGAAGATTCGATAGCGAGAGTGAGCAGATGTCGCTGGCCAGAGACTAGGTTGTGAGGCAAAACACTATGACAGCATAGTCCCCGCAGTGCCTGTCGGGTAGAAAACATTGACTGTGTAGCGAGAGGGGATGACCTACAAAAGCTGTAGGCAAGAAGAAAACAGCGGTGGACTCGAGTTAACCCAGGTACAAGTATCTTAAATCAATCGACCAGAACGCAACGGCTTTTCGCCCCAAAAAAATTAGGTCTGGGTCCACAGGAACCAATCCTCGAGCAGAACAGGTTCATACATGGCCAGCATGGGTAGTATTGAGCGCAGACCTACGCAACCACACCAAAAAGTCATCGATTATTGTCAAACCCGAAAGGTTTTGTGATAGTTTATTTTAACCGTTTTCTGAGAGCTACCAAAGTTTGGCTTCAATCCCAACGTTCTACGGTTGCATAAAAGGCCACAGAACGAGCTTATCACGTGAGTTTTCTATCGGAATGGATGTAAAAGTGCGACCAGGGAAATATATAGCATCCGTCTTGTTGCGCCCAGGGATCCAGGGGAGAAAGAAGGGCACGCGGATAGGAAAGAATTGCAGAATTGCCAGAATTGCTAATATCAGAACCAGGCCAGGGCCAGTTGGTTTCTCAAGTATTTAATTAGGTATTTCCAACGGCCTACATATACCTACGCAGGAGAGAGAAATTGAAAGTGAAGAGACAGATCCCAAGAATTAACAGCACCGGTTTAAAAGGAAATATTGAAAACTTATCATTTAAAATAAACGAATCATATAAAGTCGTCAAGCTGGGCGTAAAAAGTTCATATCCGAAAAAATTGCATAGCCCTTTTTTTTTATAGTTCCCCTTTTGGTCATAAAAATGTAGCTGTACTGCATTCCCATACTCCCCTAATACAGTGCTACCTACCACCCACGGTCTATCAAACAAAGTAAACCCCAAACCCACCCCTCCTCCCCCGGACGCGAATCCTATAGTGTTCTGCATCTGTTGCTCGATTGGTTGCTCAGTTGGAAGAGTTATCGAGTACCATTACGGGTTGCTTTTTGGGTTTTGAATCGAGCGAAGGAGTCTTAAAACACGTGAGAGTTGCAACCGAGCATGCATTCCTCCCCCAGCGTCACAAGTTAGACATAGGACAAACGCTGAAGAAATAGTGGGAAGATCGGATTGTTCTCCATCGGGGAAATAAAAACCCTCGGATGGATGATACATAGTAGAATCATTCATGTATAGTTTTGCAATCGCGGTATTCGATTGGGATTCATTTAAGAGCGGAGCATCCATCGTCGTTCGTCTCTTGTGATCTTCACATAGCCACCGTAATAGTCATCCGTGTTCTCGATGGGAGTGACACAGTGGACGGTGGGCTCGACGTCGAACTGGATTCTCTTGGAGGAAGCACCGCTGCATGACGAGCTGTTGGACTTCTTGAGGATGCCTCTTGAGGAGGTAGGGTTGGCATATGCCAAGGTTGGTTGCTGTGACATAGAGGTAAACCCGCGCTGGTTGAGCTTGGTATTGCGGGCAGTTGGACTCAGAGGAGACGGGGAGAGTGGTGTCCGAGGCATGGACATGGCAACTGGGGACTTGAGGGATAGAACGGGGCGGGATGTGTTCGAGGTAGTGGTGGCAGCAATGCTCAGAGAGAGCTTAGGCTTAGCGGCACGAGCAGCATACATATTTATTTTTAAATGTGGGGTGAAAGGTTTTTATGTTAATAGTAATATCATGGGGTGACGATGTCGTGAATAGAGTCGGGGATGGATATAGTAGATATATGATGATCCTTTTTCAGATAGTATGGGCCGATTTGGGAGGTTTGCTCGCCACAAGAGAATAGAATCAGGACAGCGAAGCTGTTACTGAAAATAAACTGGGAGGTGAAACGAGCGCATAAAGATGAGCATCAATGGAGGATAAAAATAAATATTTAACACGCGAGATGATTGGGCCAGCCAATCAGTCCAAATTAGAATAAAAAGATTAGGAATATTGGGGGGAGGGAATAAAAAGCGAAGAGAAGAGAGAGAGAGAGAGAGAGACAAAAAAAAAAAAAAGAGATGAATTCAAAACCGGAGACTGCAGAAGAAAGCGAGGAAATCCGAAGTTGGAGGGAGAGAGGAGGAAACATCAGCGGCTATATATTGCTTAGGGGGTCATCAGGGACTCGGAGTGTCCAGGATGACGGGCAAGGGACAGAAGGGTGAGGCAAAATGCGGTGGTTGGTTGATTGCTGGCCACTCCCGGAACCTCAGAACCTCCATCCTGGAAAACCTTGAACAAGCAACTCGGACACCTCCGATCTTGGCCAATTGACCCCTCTTATGGCCACTCAATAGCGGGGGAAGCGCCCAACCCAACGCACGCCCGCACATCGACATCACATCTCTCTGCACTCGTCCACTAACTACTCATGACCACCATAAAAAATGCATCACCCAATCTCTACCGTGCTGCTGGTGCACGGGGCCGCAGGTTCTGGTAATGGCACAAACCTTCCAGCGTTCTTCATTGTGGTGAGATGGTGATGACAGATGCGAGATGTCCTCTCTATCCAGCCTTATTGTGGAAAATAGCCCTTGATGGCCCAACACACAGCCAGCACGAGCTAAATAAGCGGGTGCGGGAAAGAATGAAGCCAAGAACCACAAATTGTATGAAGAACGGTCTAGAGATGAACGATTCGGTGGTAGCTGTGTAGAGTGTGCTATTTCACAGACAAGCTAAAGTTGCTCATCTCTTCTCTTCATCTGATGGCTTCCCAGCCACCATCCAATTATTTGCTCAACCCTCTGCGGGGGATGGTCATTGAAGAGCCGGTGGTTTGCATGGCTGGGTAACCACCCATTGGCGTTCTTGCTGCCCTGCTACGTGTCCCAGGACCTTAGTAGGATTGATATCACCGGGCCCTAGATGCCCTATGCACGGTATTTCTCGACTTGCATGGATCAAGGCGGCAATATAAACATGGCCGGGAGGTAATATCGCGATGTTGGTTCAATTTAATTGGGATCACGGTCAGGATGAATTTGGTCCGTCACCTTACCCTCCTCATTGATTTCAGGAGCTTAGGGACGCTGCATTACCAGCACGAAAGAGAACATGGTATGTGTATGTACATACAGAACATGTACTTCTGAGACCAAAAATGCGATTATGCATCTTCCCCACATGCCGTGTAGGGTGATCACACCAAATACCTTCAAACCCTCCATCATTCACGACAAGCGTGCCTTGTAAGGTTGGGAAGATTCTTCTTCTCTTTCCATTTAGCCCCTCGTTACCTAAATAGCATCGCTCGTGCCTCAGGAGTCCCAGTCAACCACCACCGCCTATCCAGCATTTTAAGGCTTTGAGGAACAAGAGGCATCAATAGCTAAAATCTCCCATGGAGTCTATTTGCATGGTTCTCTACGATAAGAGGAGGCGAACTATCAATCTTTTTTCACATGGGGATCCCTGCGTGAAGCTACCTTAAGTGGAACGTTTCCTTTCCCCCCCCCCCCCCCCCCCCAACAATCCCCCAGAGGGCAGCTCATGTCATCACCATCACACCAGAACCTGTGATTCAGGCAGAGGATGGAATTGCTCATTTTTCCCTAACTCTCAATACGAGTTGACATCCCAGACATCTAACCTAGGGAGGGGCAGCAATAAAAAGTCCATGGTGGCTTTTTAACTTCCATCTTCATGCTCCTATGTAGTTGAAGTTTCTAAGATAGCAGCCCATCAAGACAAACTCTACTTGAAAGACTGCGGTTCCGGCATTGACGAGCTATACAGGGCTCAGGGGAATCAGGCTTTATGTCCTGGAGGCACGATAGCAAATTTCTCCTGCATATTTCATAACTAATGGCAATGTAATGATGAATCCTATTCATTGTACACTATTTGCGAGGGCGCAGATGAGGATCGATGACCATCATTTCTATGATATAACAGATGCGATAAGGGGAATAAAATAATCCTGCAGATAATGGGATAATAGTCCAGAAAGATACAATATATCAATGTTGAATACTATTGTTCTCCGAGGCCCTACCGTCACCAATATTCCACTTATTATCGGGAACACCTGCAATAAGTTTGGACCTTTGCCCTGACGCTAAACTAAATATAGCAATATACTTTCCCAATCCGGTAGTTGAATTCGTAGAAATAAGCTTTTCAGCAGTCGAGTAGTCTCCAACTTCTTGCAGCTCACTGCTTGTTGCATCAGATCAGCCAACTTCTTCATCCCCTTCCAAAAAAGGAGCGCCAGTGACAGGAGCTAGATCCATATTTCCCAGGGAGAAAATCGCGATTCTCCCATCCCATATGCTCTGAGTCTTTATCATTCTCAGCTGCAAAACACACACACAAAAGAAAAAAAAAAAAAAAAAAAAAGAGAGAGAGAGAGAGAGAGAGAGAGAGAGAGAGAGAAAGAAAAGAAAAGAAAGAAACTCAAACCTACATTCAGGGGGTGCATAAATTTATTGATAAATGCTTTATGCTTATGCCATCCCGGTAACGGCGCACCAAGGGTCAAGAGATCCATCCAGATCTGGCTGGAATAAGACGTCAGCAAACAGATGATTCCTTCAAATTCTCATGTCGTTATTGCACCAACGATAATATCAGCAAGGAACAAATAACGGGCACGGCCCCGGAAACCAATAATAGAACCTTAGAACCTCGTAGGGTTATTGCGAAGCTTTTTGCCGGAACCAAGTTATGCCCTGAAACGTTGCAAATCGTTAAAGCTAACTGGTTCCTGATCACGGGAAATTCAAGCTGAAGGTTCTGTGTTTCCAAAGTTAGGTACACAGCTAGTTACCCGCTTTCCATCGACAAAAGCCCCCATGGCGGACTTGCGGCAACTGGAACAACAGCGATTTTGAATGGCCAGCCCCAGTGCATCGCTTTTTTTTTTTTTTTTTTTGTTTTTCTCTCCACATTTGCCGCGTACATTGATTGTGCTGTCCCGTGTCTGCTGCACCCGCTTTCGCCGTCCCGCGGGATGGTAAGGGGAAACCTTGGGAGATGCGGGTTCCAAGGTCCCAGGCACCGCCAGTGACCAACCACATGTTCTGGCCCGGCAACAACGCCTGAACGCAAATGGGCGCCAAGACTCTGCTCCGATCGGCCCAGTCAGCGGTAGTCGCCGGCAGAATTGCTGCGGAATCGTACCAGACTTCGGCCATCGGCTATTATTGGCCGCAGACCGCCCGGGCAGAAAAAAAATATATAAAAAAATAATAAAAAAATAAAAAATAAAAAATTTGCGCATCCAGCAAAATCAGACAGCATCCGCTCTCCACTTCCAACTGCCAGACCGCTTCACCGGTTTTTTTTCTCTCTCCCTCTCTTGCTCTCTCGTTCTCCCCCCCCCCCCCCCCTTTAACTCAAACTCTTTTTTTTTTTAAGAGCCCAGGGCAACTAAAATTCACTTGTGCCTATACATTGTGTATATATTATGAAAAATTGGGGGGGGGATTTTTTG